GCAATCTCTATGTATGTAATCCCAATGTGAAGATAAATGTGTGAAATGAAAAGAAAAACTACGTTTCGGTAAAAAAGCAAATTAAAATTGTTTTCTTTTTCTTTCTTGGTATAGTTTCGTGCGAACACATAACATTATAACCTTCTCTCAATATTGTTATTGCATCTATATAATGGAACAGAAACGAAAGGTGAGACTTCTTATTTGTATTTTGATATTATTGTTTTTTTTGTTCAATACTTTTTTTAATTTTCTCTCTCCCTCAACACTTTAGATAATTAAAAAGATGCAAAAGCCCACAAATTAACTGGTAAATCACGTGCAAAGTACGTGCCTGTTACATTCCGTCAATTGCTTTGTTGTGTGTCACGATTTCACTAAGATGCTTGTTGGAATCAAGCCTGAAAGATGGTTGACTGAGAGGTCAAGAGTTTCTAACAACCTCGAAACTCCAATCTTCTCTGGAATTTCTCTTGTTAAATTGTTTAGAGATAAACTCATAGAAATCAAGTTGGAAAGTTGTGTTGTCTCCTCCAAGATCTCTCCTTTGAGATTATTTCTTGACCAGTCTATTAAGCTCATAGTCAAAGAGTGAATATAATTGGATCCCAGATCATACGAACCATTCACCAAGCTGCTTAGATTTACTAGACATGAAGGAATTTACCCTGATAAACTATTCCACTTCAAATCTAAAACATGGAGATTAGGAAGGCAGGCAATACAAATTTTTTTGTATCTTTCCCTCCAGCCCTAGTAATGTCAGCCTCGGTAGACTTTCTCCAATCCATCTTGGAACGCCTCCATGGAATTGATTATTGGCAAGACTAATTTCCAGTAAGTTTTTGCAGTTACATTGGGATGAAAGCTTTCCATAAAGATCGTTGTCATTCAAGTTCAAATATAAAAGGTCAAACCCCCTATTTGCATCTTGTATATTATTTTTTTTTATAATTAATATCTTTTATAATTTAAAACTTACAAAAAAAACCCTAAATTATCAATAAAGTCAAGGTGCAAATAAGAGATTTAACTACTAATTTTTAGGTTTTTTACAAGTTTTAAATTGTGAAAAATGTTAACTAAGAGTAAAAATTCTTAAAAGTGTTAACTGCAAGAAAAAATAATGTATAGGGTGTAAATAGGGAATTTGACCAACATAAAAGCCAAGACTACAAGAAGCAAAATTAAAGAGGATCAAATCATGTAATTATTGATCCAATTGTAGAATGAAGGATTATCAAACCATTATAAAGATTAATTAATCAAGAAGAAATCGATTTACCAGTTGATTGATTTTAAAGATTTAATATTAATTATAATCTCATTAATAAAAGAGTTTTAATTAATTATTATTTCCTTATATTATATATTCATTCACTCTATAAATATGGTTGCTTATATATAAAAAAAGAACAAAGAGTAATAAATGTGTAAAGCCATAAAGAATTTTGTACTATGAACCAAAGAACCTTTGATATATCATGATATTTTAACATTATCTCGAATCACGTAATATCATATCTTCTTCTCTCTCTCATTTATCTTTCATTTTGTTCTTATCACTATTTTATCATGAAATTTATATTATATGAGATTTTCTCATCATATTAGAAACTTCTTCAAAAATGAGTTTAGAATGCTGCCATTGAAGTAGTGCTTAGAAAGATCTAACACCTATAAATACTTCAAGATGCTTATGGAAGATGGAATGCTTCCACTGAAGTTGTTCTCAGAAAGATCAATATAACTCAAATACAACATATCTTGGCCAAAGTTTTCTGGACTGGGTCCTGACAGTAACTTGTGCTTCAAAGTTCAAATTCAGTAGGACGACAGTAGGACGACACCAGAAAAGTGTGGAATTGGTCCCTCAAATAAATCAAAGTCGAGCTGTACCGTTGATTTTGGTGCAAATTTTAATGAACTCGGAAGCTTTCCATGAAATGTATTGTTGTAAAGAACTAAAGTGTAAATTTGTGGAATCAGTTTCCAAAAAGGACCAAATCTGTAATATTGATATTAGCAAAGAGAATAGATCAACTCCTTTTGAGTTTGGAGCCATACAGGAAATTTGAGATCCATTTGGTAGTTAGCAGTGTAGATCAAATTTAGATTGAAAAGAGGAATCCAGTCATATCCCACATCAAATACCTGTGACTTTTCTCTAAATCTGGAGGATATACTAAAATCTTTCAAATTTTTTAGGTGGAGAAAGTGATTCCAAAATACAATACCTTCCCAGTTATTATCATCAAGATATAAAAGAGTCAATTCTTTCAGTTGTCCAATATATATTTTCAGGAATTGGTCCATTCAATTTGTTGGAAGAAAGGACAATTCTCTCCAAGGATGACAGGTTTCCAAAGGAAACTGGTAATGGACCAAAGAAATAATTCGAAGAAAGATAAAAGAGACCTCATGTTCTTAAGATTTCCAGGGATGGAGGTATTTGCTTGTCAAACTAATTGGTAGCCAATTCCAACACTTCCAAACTATAGCTGTTGCATTTTGACAAACTATCCACTAGTTTGACTATTTCTCTAGTAATTTCATTGCCATGTAACGCTAGGAATTGCAAGATGCATAGATTTTCCCAATCATCAACATTGTCTAGAGAGTCCTTAATTCCACTCTGACAAATCAAGCTCAACAAGGGCACTAATATTGAACAACTAACCAGGTAATGGTGACTTGAAATCATTGATGAAAGATCAATGACCCAAATAGAACTGAAGTTCACAATTGGAACAAAAGGAGGGAGGTAATGGAGATTGCAGTTAGGAAGATACAAGTCCTTCAAGGAAGGGAGCATGTTTACAGCTTGCAACCAGTTGGTTGATTCTGAACTGAGGTCTGTACCATTTACAAAGAGGTATTTTAACGAAGAGAATCTAGAGATAAAATTCAAATTGGAAACCCAAAGAAAATTATTCCAAGAGAGAACAAGATAGCACAAATTTCCAAGATGAGGCAGAACCACTCCAGCAAAAGATGCATTAGAGACGATGAGGTAGCTCAAATTGGTGAATGAACCAATGAAATTTGGAATTGGAGTTTGTTCGAAATTGTTCAAGCTTAGATCCGAGCAATTTAAATATTTCAAGTCAAGCAATGAAGGATCTGCCTTACCATGCAAAGCTGTGAAATTAACAACTGTTACATTTTCAAAAAAAATTGCCACTAGGTGAGTTCCTGAGATCAAGCATTGTGACATGTCTGGTTGCTTGCTACAACCTATGCCTTGCCATGCACAACAATCGTTGCCAACCTAAGAACAAAACCTGCCTAAAGGATCTTTGAGACCTACTTTGAATTTGAGAAGTCATTCCTCTTAGCCTCCCAACAAGTTGTGGTGAAGTTGGTTGAATAGGGACCAAATTCACTTGCTTTGAGGGATAGAAATGCATGAGAAAATAGGTGAACCAAAAAGAGAAGAAGAAAGTGAGTGAAAACGGAAGTGATCATGGCCAGTGTTTTCCCTCACTGAAATAGTGGGTTTCAAGTCAGAAAGGAAATTGTTGAAGAACATAATGGAAGGCTCCAGCTTTATGGTGTTGCTGCCATGGGAACTGTTCGCTAAAATTGTCCCTTGAGCAGAGAAAGAGAGCAATCCTCACAATGTCAAGTTGCTTTGCCCTCGCGCAATAAAAATCCCCTGTCATCCACTTGGCGGACTAGCCCATCTGGTTAAGTGGGATTCATCCCAGCAAAGAGTAGTGCGCAATTCGCTATTCGTGCAATAAAAAATCCTTTAGTGCAAGATCGATCGGATCGGATACAGTAAAAATCCAAATGTCTTTTTCTGTTTTTCTTATCCCATGAACAAGAAAAATCATGCACCTTCACAAGAAATTGGAATCAAGTTTTTCCACCGTAGATTGGTCCATTAAGCCTGCTTTTCAAATGATTTCTCTGGCCACTCTGTAACGAGCTTGGCCGAACACAATTTTCAGGCTTCTTCTTTATACCAAGTTGCATTGTTTACACTAGCTTGCATAACTCTAGAATGCGGAAAGTGAAAATAAATTTTTAATAGAATTAAAATAATGAGAAATTTTAAGATATCAATTCATATCAGTTTACAATTATGAGAAAAAAAAAAGTTAAGTTACTAAATTTTCTTTATTTTTCCCAGAAATTAGTAAATAAATCTTTTTTATCAAAAGTTTTTATCTTAATAGCACTTGATTATTTCTTGTTGGAAGAAAAAGACAAAATTGATGCACTGTTGTTTGTTTTTATGGTAAAAGGTTTTTATTTTAAATTGTTTCACAATAAATATTTATAAATCATAATTATTGATTAGTGTCATCTTATATTTTAAATTTTAATTTTAAATACATTAAATTAATATTAGAACCTATTTGATTATCACAAATCTCAAAAAAATAACCCAAACAAGCCACACTTTTTGAAGCACTTGATCTACGAAAATTAGTTTCGGGCACAAATTTCACTGCAAAAAATAATTGATAATATTGCTGTATATAATCAATTACATATATATTTTAAACAATTTACAATTTGGACTGAGAAAACTCTTTTTAAAATATTATTGTAGATTAAAACTTTAATTAACTAATTCAAATATTTTAAAACTTGGGGTGTCAGTTCAGTTTAATAAATTATATTATTTTAAAATATTATTTTTATGTAATTGATTACTGGACAAAAAAAAAAAAACATTCCTGCATTGTTTAGTGAGAAATGCATTTTAGAAAATTGTAATTGATTACACTATTTATAAGCACTTACATTTTTTTCAAAATAAATTTTATCAATTTATAACAATTAGATAAATTAAGTCTTCGAATTTAATAATTTATTTTCAAATCTTAATTGATTTAGTTAATTAAGAATTTCGACCCCATCCATGACTTGAAAAAAATTTCGGTTTCGGGGATTTAAGCAAAATATATATATATATATATATATGCTAAACCAAACCAAGTTTTATTATATATACCCCTTCCTTAGAAATACTTTCTTCAAAGGAGGATACGAAACCGCCCCTAGAAGGGTGGTTAAGAGAAATTCGTCTCAAAATTCAAGAACTGATTTGCAAACACATTCAACCTAAATAAAAAAAAAAAAAATTAAAATAAAACAAAGAGACTACATCCACTCCGATGGTAAAACATGTTTCATATGTTAATCAGTGGAAAAAATTTGAAAAACGATAACCAGCTCGTAGCCGGAAAATGACCGGAGATGATAGAAGAGGTGCTCGGAGCAGAATCAAGTCCAATGAAGACGACTCTATCGGAAAGATTAAACCGAACTTGAAGCTCCGTCAGGGGAGGAGTAGAGCGGACGGCAGACCACTTCGAATCCTCATCACCAATCTCAAAGTCGTGCTAGGTTTCAGCATTTTAGCGTTCTTAATCATCTTCTTCACCATCGAACATCTGATGAATCAAGCCGAAGAAGCTCAGACGGCTAGGGTTGTCACTCCGTTTCCTGCTCCCAAGATCATGGACCTGCCTCAGGTAGAGCAAATACTTTAATTTTGTATATCCTTTTTTGGTTTGTTTTAGTCATTGGCGCTGAAAAATGGATGATTGGTTGTGACAGTCTCAAGGCGAGCACAAAGAGAGCTTGTACTGGGGAACCTATCATCCTCATGTTTATTTTGGAATCCGCTCAAGGTATTACCACATTTTTTTAGTAGCAAAGCATAATTTCTTCGGTTTTCTTTTGTTTTGTTTTCCCATATTTGCTTTATATATCTTGTTAAGCGTGATATTATTTGTTTAACTTTTACGCTTATAATGGAAATGGGCGTCAAGAAATCTGTGCTGTTGTGTACTGCTACCATGTTGATTTATTCTTTGTGTATTTTCTTTTCTTTATTGGCTTTAATTTTCCGTAGCAAATCAAAGGAGGCATGGTGTTAATTAGCTATTGTTATTGTGCTCTGGCAGGACTCCTCGCTCTTTAATTGCTGGATTGATGTGGATTGGTTTGTAGGATGGAAGGTATTTTATACGACATGTCTGTCGAGACTCTGATGAGCCAAGCAGATACGGGTGGACACAGCATAATGGTCGTGATTTTGGGCATCAACTGCTGGTTGACCATGACATGACCCTGGAAACAACTTTCTTGAAATCTAAAGGGGATGGCAGTGGCCATGGAGGTGACTGGGCAATAAGGATTGACGTGCAAAGTGAGAAGTAATTGTCTGAACCATTGCAAAGTGAGAAGTTTTTGCTTTGCTAGTGTTTTCTCTTTTGTCAAAAAAGTCATGGTTCTCTCTACCTGTTTTGTATTTGGTCAGCATTATGCCTGTTCATACATTTTGTGGATGAAGGAATATGACATGTTTTTACATGATAATGAAACCATTCCTCTTCAGATATAGTCAATGACTTGAAGAAAAATAAATTCACAGCCAATGAAAGCAATGAAATCACTTCCTTCCTAGAACAGGCTTTTGTTCGCCTTGAAGCATGGTTCCAGTGGTTCAATACTACCCAGTCAGGTATGCATCTTATTTTAGTTTTGGGCAGAGTTGTTGATTGTTGTAAAGAATATGGTGGTCAGGGTATGTAGAGCTGTGGTTCTTGATGAAGCTTGGGTTAAAACATACATTAAATGCATCACTGTGATTAGCACGTACAAAATCTTCTTTCCTCCATTGTATTACTTTTTTCAGCAGTGATATTGATGTGGTTTTTTAAGCACTGCTATGGACAATTTTTTCAAAACCTGCATAGGTATAAAGAATTCAAAGTTCTCTGAATATTTTCTTTTTGATAATCATGAGCTAATAACTACTGGTGGAATCTTCACTTAAAAAACAAAATTAAAAAGTAGACTGTTCTTAACAAAGAAGTCAAAATAACCAAAATATTTTGGCTTCACACCAAGTTGTTAATTTGTAAACTCTTAGCTGCAATTGCAGGTTCCTTAAATTTTTGCTTTAGTAAATTCTAGTTTTCGATGAATACCAAAATTATTTCTAGTACTAGTAGGTGCCTTTTTTATGGCAAAATAAATTTCAAAAAAAAAAGGAAAAAAAGAAAAAAAGGGAGGTGCCAACTTTGAAGTAGACAAGGAATACTTTTGATATACATGGGAATTTAACTGCTTTTTAACTTCTTTCATTTCTTTGCTATTATTCTCCTGATTACAGGAAAGGAAATCGGTAGCAACTACTGGCATGGAAGACACAGCACAGCAACTCGTGAATTAAACCCAAAGGTTATAAGCAGACTTTTTCTTAAACAGCAAAGCACCTAAATTAGTAGATATTTTCTTTCTTCTTTGAGCCTTTTAGAGAATGCTTGAATTTAATTCTGGGAGTTTTTCGTAAATTCCTTTTTATGAGTCTTGGGTTAAACTACTATAGTTTAGTCAAGTAAAGCTGCTGTACTTATACTGCATGCTTAATGTTATTAGATGTTGGCCACAAAATCCTTTTCAAGAAAGTAGTCAATAACATGTTTGAAGGGTGAGAAGGTAAAAATGACTAAAGAATAATCTTTTTGAGCTTCTTCCTTTATGCATGAATGATAATAGTTAGTATTGGAAAAAAACAGACAAAAGCTGGAGGTAACCCAAAACATCGTTTTTGAAGGTCGTTACCTTTAACCAGTGTTTACCTCTCAAGAGATTGATTGAAAAAGATCTTACTAAAGCAGATAACATTTGTATTTGTGTGATTATGAAAAGGCTTCTATTATTGAAGTAGTAAACTGCAATACATTGCTGCTGCCTTCAGACTCTGTCCTCTGGTTTGGATGATAATCCCCATGCATCACACCCTAGTGAAGATGAACGTCACTTGGATCTTAGATGCTGGATGCTTCTTGCAGCTGATTGCATGGATTCCATTGGGAAGTTATTTGAGATGGAAAAGACATCTGCAGAGGTATAACAATGAGGGGAAAAGCACATTATCTGATTTGTTGGACATTTCCTGTCAACTAATAGACCTTGGAAATAAATTGATGCAGGAATATGGTTCAACAGCTAAGTTGCTTTCGGACTTTGCAACTCTGAATCAGGTTTGTCTACTACCACCGTGCGGCTGAAATTTATTGTTATTTCATTACATATTAATGCTTTTAACGGAAACATATGTTATGAACTATAACCAAGTGCAATGGCCAAAAGAAAAACGTTGTAGCTGGATGCAGTGTATGTGCATTATCATTACAAGTACTACCTTTTTCCTTATTTTCCTCTTCTCCAAATGGAGTCATTTACCCATATATTTACCCATATGTTGTAGCATTTAGATTTATGACATATTACATGCGTCAGACTGAGATACTTTACATTCAAATCTTTTCATACTCATTTGTGTGTATCTTAACCAGAAGCACTTTAATCAAGTTCATGGAGCATATTTTGATTTTGGCAACCATACAGAAAAGGTATGTTGCTAGTCACGTTTACAAGGTTCCCGGTTACCATATCAGTGGTCTAGTTACATCTCTGCACATGTTACAAGGTTCCCAATTACTATATCAACAATAAGTACAAGCAAATTGATAAAATTTTCCAACCCTTTTTTTTTTTTTAATTTATATTCACTTCATGCTTCCCATTCTGAGTTATTCTTCTCTTGTTCAATTCATTTCATGAGAATAAGATATTGGTTAACCCCAAGGCCTTGCATCTATTATTGACTAGCTATAGATTGGCTTTTTGACATGAATGCTCATGATGAAATCCAACATTGCCTTGAAAGATTACACATTTATTTTCTGCACTGATATTTGCTGGGCCTATTACATGAATGCTCCAGATGAGTCATTTTAATCTTTTTTTTTTCCTTTGAACAAATCATTTTAATCTTTCTAGGTTCAATTAAGTTGGACAGTAGTAAAGGCAGGAAATAATCATCCAAGGAGTGAGCTCATCTGGGAAGTGTCAGAGAGACCAGAGTTGAAACTGGTTCCTCATATTGGATATGTCAGCCTTTTCCCCTTCATGGCAAGAATTATTCCACCTGTAGGTTAGGATTTAATGATGAAAACAATGCTTTATCAATTCTACTACTTTTGCCAATTTTACCTTACTAGACTCGGTTGACAAGTTGTTATTCCTGATTCAAATTGGGCATCAACTCACTTGTTTTATTCATTCAGGAATCCTGGATTCTGGGAAAGCAGCTTGACCTCATCTCAAACAAGAGCATCTTGTGGACAGCTTATGGACTCCGTTCTCTTTCCAAAACAAGGTGATCTCACAAAACAATCTGATAGTGTTAATATTTATATACTGCGTGCTTAAACTATGACCTAGTTGATCTTGTTGATATTTTAAGGCTTCAAAACAAATCTGAAATCTTTGTATATGCCACAGCACATTGTACATGAAACGCAACACTGAGCATGACCCCCCATACTGGAGAGATCCAATTTGGATGAACGTGAACTACATGATTCTTTCTGCTCTCAAGCATTGCTCATTAGGTAAGAAGAAGATATTGCCTATCCATTTTTTCTTTTCACTTCCCCCTTATAACCATCTGCTATTAATTGCATTTTGACCCTCTGGATCAAACTTTATATAGTGAATGGGCCATACAGAGAAAGAGCCAAAACCATCTATGATGGCTTGAGGAGCAATTTGATTAGGTACAGCTCATGTTGCCATAATATTGATTTATGTCCTTAACTTGGTCTTATATTATATTTATAACATATATGTTTGCCATGCTGCGGAAACGCGGTTCAGAACTATTACCAAACTGGGTTTCTGTGGGAACAATATGATCAGAAGCAGGAAAAGAGAGGAGGTGCTCAATTGTTTACTGGCTGGACCTCACTTCAGCTATTGATCATGGCAGAAGCTTATGGTAAAACTTAGGACATTCAAGTTAATAATACTTGCCATGAGAAAGACAAGATTAGAAACAAAGGGAAAATTCAGCCAAAAACACAAAGAAAAATGGGGGAAAATATTGTATTCTAATATTAAGTTCTTATTTGCTGCTGTAGTTCCCATCATATAAATTTTGAGAGAGCATATACTTTCGATAAAATAGTTACTTACAAACTTAGTTAATGCTAGCATGAAAATGTCAAGTATGCCTAGGAATTTAATTTTGGACATTGAAGAAACCTGCTCAATTAAGCTGAGTCATGTTCCAAAAATTTATTAGGTTCATTAATCAATTCAACTGGGTTGCTCCCTCTTGTTCTGATTTCATTATTTCGTGGGCATCTAATTTATTAGGGGCGAGAGAGATTTACCCTCGGGAAAACCAGTCCTTTCTGTCCGGAATACCGACCTGGAAATTGGCTGACAGATGCACATTATAAAGTAGTTGCAGGGTAATATGAACAAACTTAGGTCATCTAAAATTCTCAGTACATTGTTAAGTAACAAAGTTTGAATTTCTCATTAATTTGGAGGCAAAAATTGTACAATCTATTCAATGCCTACAAAAACATTGCATCTGTTGCTTTGTCCCAGCAGACCAACTAAAAACAGCACAAATCCACCCTAGTCAATCCCATAATGCAACTTCTTTTCTCATATTAGAGGGAAAGAGATCGTATGGGAAAATGTACCTAAGGTCACTTAAAATGTTCTTGAGGTCAATGGTCAAAACAGCTGTTGATTTCCTAATGTATCCAGAAAAAACTTAAAACATACTAAATAAGCATTATGGGGTTGTACCGAGTACTGTCACTATTTGAGCTCTCTAGCTTACATCATCCGCCATGTCTGTGTCCTCAGCCATTATAATCTCCATGTCCCTGATATCTCGTTTCAAGACATTGCCAAGTCTGGCAATGGCCTCTGTCTGCCGCTGTAAGACCTGTCAGCCAACAAAAGGATTTCCCTAAATCAACAGTTCCTTGTGCACTTCCCATTTTCCAATATGCCAAAATCATGATTCCTCAGAGTTCAGAGGAGCAAAGCCAACAGAAAAACATTTGTAACTAAAAAAATGAATGTTATAAGAAATATCATATATCGTGGAAACTGCATGCATTGTACTACATCTATAGCGATAATAATTTAAAAGTAACTATTTTCAAATCAAATATGATATGCTTGCCATATTTTCATAAGGGGGAAAAGTAGCAAGCTTGGCAGAAGAAACAATAACAGCATAACATAAAAATTTCCCATAGCTTACCTCCTGCATATCAGCAAGACTTTGCTCATGAATTTTAGTTGATCCTGGAAGATAAACAGAACCACCAGAACCATTAGCATTTGCTTGAACACGAGATACAGTGAGCAAGTTTTGAACCCTCCTAGAAAGCTCTGCTCCAGATCCTTTCATCTGCAGTCATATCTGATTGTCAGTTGCAGCTCTTGCTGGAAGGCCAAGTAAAAAATAGTAAAAAAGAGAAGCAGAGACAAGAATTGAAGGCCAACCTGTCTTGTTATTGCAGCCAATTTCTCTGCCAACTCAACTTCCCCTTTCATTAAAGGTAAACGACAACCCTTACCCTCCAAGGCCTCAACTATTCTCATCACCTTTAGGCACAGCATTACAATGGAAATCAAAAACAAGAATGACAAAATTGCATAAAATATTTAAAAGGCTTTTAAGAATCCCTGATCAGGTAATGCTATCTAACTTGACTGACACACTGGATGAATCAAATGATAGTCGAGGAATCCTCAAGCAGGTTTACCTTATTCTTCAGTTTTTTGTTTTCTTGACAAATATTTTCAGCAGACTGCAGAGTTAATTAGGGAAGAAAGGACAAGGAAACATGATGAAAGAGAAGCCACAACTGCATGGCTACACATGATATATTTTCCATGCAATATCTAGAAATTTAGCAAAAATTTCGATTCGGCATCAAGCAAGAATTATGCCTACCCTTAAAAGGCGCCTTTGAAGACTTTGCTCCTTCTGTCTCATTCTTTCAATCCAAGGAAGGGTTTCAGCTTGAAAGTGCCTTTGAAGCTGCAGTCAGTAGTAGGTTTGAGAAGAATATTCCAATCAAATGACGCAAAAGGATCACTGGAAGAGATTACAGTACCATTTTTACATTGCTTTGAGTCATGCGCAATCTCTCAGCATCTGAAACAATGACTTCATCTTGTAGCTGCATCAACCCATACTAAAATTGTCAGGGTTCACCCACCATATTTCATTCACTCAATTGCTGACTTCTAGAAAGGTAAAACTTTGGGGTAAATTCAAGAAACTAAACTTTTCTTGTTCCTCTGTCTTCCTTCCTAGCCAAATTCATCAGTTCCACTAGAAATTTTGCTTTAGCCAAAATATCAACTGAAAATCTACAGAATCAGCAGCAACCTGAGCCGTTAACAATGCTTCATTACCTATATATTTCTGAACTGCCAATCATAAGATTCACAACTGGGATTCCTATAAAATTCTTTCCCCATACCCCATCTAGAAACTTCAACCAATTAAACACTAGAAACACCTCTCTGATGTATCTGTGCAATTCAGCATTAATTTTTTTGGAATTTGGCAAGCAATTCCATTGCAAAAAAAGCTCATATTTAACTCAGCATTAATTTTTACATAAGTCGTAGTTGAAAAAACAGTTCTAATACAACAAAAAAAAAAAAAGGACTGGTGCCAAAAAAAGGGAGAGTTCAATGTCTCATACAATGAATAACTCCAACAAGTTTATGTTCTTCTCAGTCAAATCTTTCATCCTAGCTCCAAATAATGAGCTCTTGGGCAACCCTCAACAAATAACTATCTCTCAACATCCCATGTTTTTTCAAGTCAACCGTCAATTTCTTCAATTTGGGATCTCAAATGCAAAAAAGTGTTAGCTGCCTTTAACAAGTCATATTTGGACTTTAAGTCCCCCTTCTGAACAGGCCTATGTCCTAACTACCAATGTCAATATCTTATAGACATGGACATACTTATTTTAGTATCCATAGATATAGGACAAACATGGGATTGAACCAGACTAGCTGAAACAAAAACTAATGAGAAGTTTCCTGATCACAATTATGCAACAAGAAAATAACACAGAAGGTAATGCACCCTCAATACCACCAATGAAACAAGAATTACCTTCAAGCGTTGTGAAAGATCCCTGAAACCCTGAACAAGCTGAGGCCAGAGTCGTTCCCGGTCACTGCTCTCCATACCCTCCAGCTTAGCCATAGCCTCTGCCCACATGATCTACAAGCGGAAACCATCTCAAAGTTGACTCAAATGAAACTCGAGCAAACAATACTACAAACTAACAGAAAAAATAAGACAGTAACCCTGGTCCAAAAGCAATGAAGCAAGAAATAAAAAGAATCTCGTAAACCTTACATCTGATACACCAGCAGGCTTCACCCTGAATTGAGGTTCCATTACACTGAACAACAAATGCTGCAAACAATTAACCAACCATCAACACAACATGACAACCATTTCCTTTTGATTGTTCAGAAATGAGAAAAAACCACATAGCAAGGCCATGTCATCTTATAATTGAGAATAATTTACTTAGCACCATAACAACAAAATAAAAGCAAACTAAAGAGAAGAAAACAAACCTTGAAAGCATACTTAGAGTTTGCAGGCTCCTCCTTGTAAGCATCAACAATTGCCTAACACGAAACACAAATGTCAGAAAAGAAAATATAAAACCAGAAGCTAGGGTTAGGGTTTAACACCAACATGTAATAAAAAGAAAGAAACGAAAACGAAATCAATACCTGAATGTCACGATCGGCGAGGGAGAAAGGAAGAGGAGCCACGGGGGCCATCTGAGTAGTCAATTGAGCATTGGAGAAGGGAGTGGCGAATGGAGTGGCGAATGGAGTCTGGAATCCGAAACCACTAGAAGCTGCCGCCGGTTGTTGCTGAAACAATGGAGTCTGTTGCGGTTGCTGCTGCGTTTGAGAAGAGAACGGCGTGGAGAAAAGAGAGGAACCGAAACCCGTAGCAAAAGAAGGCGTCGACGGGGTGCCGAATGCCGGAGTCGAAGACGGAGTGCCAAACGCCGGAGTCGAAGAAGGAGTTCCAAACGCCGGAGTCGAAGACGGAGTGCCGAACGCCGGAGTCGAAGATGGAGTGCCAAACGCAGGAGTAGATGATGGATTACCGAAAGCAGGGGTGGAGGACGGAGTGCCAAATGCCGGCGTCGAAGAAGGCGCGCCGAAGGCTGAGCTGGATCCGAACATTTTCGCGGATTCTTGGTTGCGGAGAGAAGCTTAGAGAGATAGGATTTAGGGTTTATGGCGAAGCCGCCATTTCGGCTTCTCAAAGTGCTGCTGCTGCTGGCTCACAGTCAGTAAAGACTGAAGAGTGAGCCGCTGCCCTCAACGAATGTGCTAGCCCTTTGTTTGGGGGTTACGAAAAAAATGTCCCATGGACCTATACTACTTAAAAGAAAAGGAAAATACGAGACATTTTTCTCTTTTTTCATCCAACAAGAAAATGTTTTAATTTCATGCTTGTGAGATCAATTATTTTTAGGTAATCAACTAATAATTACTCTTTCTATTTAATTTTAATTGTTTTAATTTATTTTTTATTTTTAAATATAAATTTTAAATAAAAATTAACAAAATATAACAATTGAAAATTTTTTTCATATACTTATTTTTTATTAAATAGTTTTATTTTATTGAAAAAATTAAAGGATATCTACATAGTTTATTCAAAAATTAATATCTTAAAAATTAAATCAAAAAACAATTAAAGTTAAATGAAAATTTTTGCAATTTTTACAAGTACTTAATTCAAAAGGTTTTGTTTTAAACTCTAAAGTAATGTGTTATCACATATTATAACAATCAAAATAAAATTTTAATTTAAAACTCTCGCATTGGAAATTTGAAGCAAGTGATTTTTTGTACAACAAATGTAAGAATAAAAAATAGTTGTCTTTTAATTGATATTGGAAATTGAGAAAGCTTAGCAAATATTGAAGTCCCATAATTTGAACAAAATGTTCACTAATTTGTTCCATAAACTAAGCATTGACATATCAAGAGCAAGCCTGTTGAACAACAATGCCACAATGCCGATTAATGAGATGGCATGCATGCAACTTAGGCTCAACTTCAAGAATAAATTCACAAGAAGCATTATGGACCGGGAAATAGTCAATACACAGTAGATAAATTGAAAAGTCATTAATAAGTTCAACCGGGAAAGCTAACTAAAAGGTCTGAAAATCTGACACATTACAAACTAGTGATCAACAGAAAGCTTAATCCAGTCATACAACACAACTAGCAAATGCAGAAAGACATTCTAGACTTCGATGAGATCCATCATCAAACAACAAGCAAGACACATTTAGGCCTTAATTGTCACACAGCATAGGCACAAACCAGATGGCTTTATAGCAGAAGTCTGCCATTCTGAACCCGGTGCTGCATTTGGGTCATACAAAAGGGTATTGTAATCGGGTTCTCCCAGCAGTGAGAACAGCAGAAGTTTTCCATCCAGAATGCCAAATCGAAACCCTATATTAGAGCTACCTGTCAATGGAACAGGGACCATCTTCCATGAATTGTCCTCAGGATTGAATATGGCCAGTTTCCTCTGGTTCTTCCACTCCATACAGAAAAGCTCCTTCCCCAGAACAGCATGGGCAGTGACCATGACACAACCATTCTTTATTTCACACCAGGAGTGCCTTTCAGGGTTGTACACATCAACAAACTTTGAGTTTCCAATGGTGAAGTTTGACCTTCCACCAAGGACATAGAGTTTTCCATTCAAGCCAAAAGCAAAGCAACCCCACCTGGGGCGGCGGAGACTTTCTATCAGAGTCCACTTGTTACTATCAGGGTTGTACACCTCCACACTTGAGAGACTGTCTCCATCAATCCCACAGCCTCCTACTGCATAAACCATGCCATTGACCTCTGCACAAGCAAAATCATAGCGAGCCACATTCATGTCAGCTAATTTGCTCCACCTGCAATTGGAAAGAACACATTCAACAACAATGATAGATGTTCAACTTCCACTTTGGTATCTTTTTATCTGTGTTGGGCTGCAGTAGGCTGGGGAAGGAAGGGGGGATGAATGGGACGTTAAGGAAGTACATATAGCCAGTATGGAAGTTCTAACTCTATGCTTTTCCCTAGATGCAAAGCCTTCAAATTAGTCTACTTCCCTATTTGGCTAAGTACACATCTAAGCAATCAGTTATTAATTGCAACATCCTTCAACTAAATTACATAATTAATCTAAGTCTCATCTACTTTTTGTGATGGGATAAGTCTCATCTACTTTAAGTTGATTGAAACCAATATAACAAGACAACAGAAATTGAAGTCTGATGCAGAAATCCAGCAGAAAACAAACCTGTTGAGGCAAGAATCATATTGGTACACATCAGCAGAGGCAGAGGCAAACCCATTAGCCACTGAATACCCAGCCATGACAAGAAGCTTTCCATTAAGGACAACCACCCCAAACCCAACCTTCAAGGGGCCGGGCATTGGTGGAAGAAGATGATTCTTCTGCCCCAAACAATCTAAGACTTCCCAGTGGTTTTCCTTTCCTCCAGCATCCGCAGTTAAAACATAGAGCCACTCCTCAAGCAGCCCAGCTAATTTACGCTCCATTATGAATTCTTTGCTTTGGATATATGACCTCCACTTCTTGCACACAGCACCCATGGCTGGGAAGTTGGAACGAGGAACAAGTGCAAGACAATACTTTGCCACATCTTCTGGCAGCCCAGGTAGCAGCAAGCTATCAGAATCATCAGTCACCCTAGTAGATGACTGCAGATTGTTTTTGGAATGAATTGGTATATCTTGTTTCCCAGATGAAGAGAAGCACATATTTGGTTGTGTAATTCTCTTCTTCCCACTCACAAACCCAGGCATTCCCATAAGATTCTTGTACTAGTGCAATTATATCCCAAAGAATGTGTCAACAGTTCTAATCAACAGACAACAAACTAAAGAAATTCATGAAATCCATCACCTATAGGGATTTTACAACACCAAGACATAAAAGACGTTGTAGGACGGATCTCTTGAGCTGTGAATGCTGATGAATTTTTGTGTTTTTTCCAATATGATTCATATGCCATGCCAGAAGTCTTGTTCTTTAAGCAGTTTCTTCCTGTTGTTCTATGTAAACCTTTTTGCAAGCCCCTGTAACCGCTCCCTAACCCACACATTGCCCGGATATCTACTACAAAAAACCATTGCATCATTAGTTGATGACGACAAACGCAAAAACAACTCAAGACACTCAATCCACAATATCAGTGTCCAATAAGTTACAAGAGAGAAAATAGTACCAGTCAAGGCCATAAAAATTCAGCAAGTTTAGCCCCCTGTAACTTCCATTTCCATAGATTTACACCAATCACCTGAAAAAACTGAATAAAAAAAGAGTAGGGTGAATTCAGAAGTTGTTGACATCTGATCTACATACTTATAAACACCATGATGATGATTGAAACAAAAGCAGAACTCTGATGATGATTGAAACAAAAGCAGAACTCTAATCAACATAAGACACAAATAATAGGGACTAATATTTTCTAGGGCCAGTAACACATCCTGCTTGTTCTCCAAAACATCAAATCAAATGAAAACAAGTTTTGCTATAAAAACACAAAATTCCATTATGTTGCCAATCCCTGACCAAACGAAAGAGAATGACTCGACATGAAGAGCTAGACAAATAAGATGAGATGGACACCTCAAACAACTTCAACCAATTTATTATATTCCCTTGAACTTCTTAAAGGGTGGATCTCAAGATCACCAGTCCACCTACCGGCTACCGAACACAATTATAAAAGAAAGCAGGAAAATGATTAAGAACGAGAGATATCCAGAACCACTCTTTCTTTTTTAACTTTTTCTCTTTTTTGGTCAATGATTGCATAGAGAGTAACAGCTTCCTTTAAGGCCCTGATGCAAACAATAATCAAACATTGAAAATCAAATTACTGAAAAATACCCAGACAAAAAAATAAAAATGAAATCAATTTTGACATTAAAATGATTAAGAGATCTAATATATAATTCTCAAACATGACATTCAGATGAATTAGATCAGGAAATGGGAAAAAATCAAAAACCCAGATCTGAAATAATCCAAACGCTTAGAAGAAAGAGATTTGCGAAGTTACTGACAGATTTGAAGCAGATTTCCTCCAATAAAAACAAGAGAAACCCAGAATTGTGAAGGTACTGGCAGATATGAATCAGATTTCCCCCAATGAAAACCCAGAACCAAGAAGTACTTTCTGAAGCCAAAGCAACTAACAGATCCAATAAGGAATGCTAAAACTCCATTAGATTCAAGACTATAAATTCCATACACACAGGAACTATTCCCATTAGTATTAAACAACTTCAACGACAGAAAACCGGTCTCTCATTAGTATTAAACAACTTCAACAACAGAAAACTCAAAACCAGATATTAACATCAGCGTTCAGACAAATCCGAGGAAGGGGGGAAAAAAAAAAGTAAGCAAATCATGTCTGAAACGGACCTAAGAACCGACATTAAAACATCAAACAACAGCATATTAAACATTTGCGAAATCAAATCAAACAGTTTGAATCCGTAAAAATCTGAGAAAAAATTAATACTATGAAATGCGGATAGATCTGAGCTGAGAATTGAGGAGAGGATAAGGAGCGCAGAAGAAATGTAACGAATATTACCTGACTATGAGGGTGTTTGTTAGAATTCCGGATGAAACAATGGATGTGTAATGAAATTTTTTATCCCAAAACGCGTGAGATAAGGGAATATATAAAGGCACAAAAAATAGCAAGGGAGATGATGATAAAATTGACAGGGCGCAAACACGTCAGTGGTCTCAGTCTTATGAGATTTCGAGATCAGAGATGTATGATGTATTTTGCTCAGTCCGCCCTATACTTAAAAATCGTAGGTCAGGTTTGAAAAAGGTTAAAATATCTCTAATAATTAAATAAGGAAAAAATTGCACCTGCTCAATAATTTGTTTGGTTGAAAGTGCATTTCTTAACATTTCTCTCATCTCAAAAATTGTTTTTGTTTAAAAAAAATATTTCATATATTAAATTATTTTAAAATATAAAAAAATAACTATTATTTGAGG